GACACACACACAGACAGACACACACACAGACACACTCACACACAGACACACACACACAGACACACACACAGACACACTCACAGACACACACTCACACACACACTCACACAGACACACACACACTCACACACATACTCACACACACAGACACACACTCACACACACAGACACACACTCACACACACTCACACACACACAGACACACACACAGACACACACACACAGACACACATACACAGACACACACACAGACACACACAGACACACACACAGACACACACACACAGACACACACACACAGACACACACAGACACAGACACACAGACACACACAGACACACAGACACAGACACACACACACACACAGACACACAGACACAGACACACACACACACACACAGACACACACCAGGTTCTTAGATAGTTCCCACCCTGATGGAAGAAACGCACGTCTGTGATGCACTTGCTTTTACTCGAGTCTCCCCCCTTCCCCCCATGAATAATCAACTCCCTTCGAGAAGGGCCTCAGTTTCCAGCACCTAGAACAGTGAATGTCTTTCCATAGCATTAAATATTCTATCACCTCATGTTTAATGATCTCACGGCATTTGATTTCAGGAGCGGTCAATAATATACACAACTGTATTTTTATTTTTCTAAAGGGTTTGCTGAGAATAAAATGTAGGGCTCACAGCTGACCCTGCTGGGCTATGTCCTGTGTGACCTGAGCAATGCCGGTCATCCCCGGAAAAATTACAAAACTGCTGTGTGCTCACTGAAGGGGTTCACAAATTGGGCGTCTGTGGCCATTGGCTGGGCAATTCTGGGGGGCACCCAGGCCAGGTGGTCTGGGCCTTGGGGCCACGGTGAGTAAGCCCCACTCTGAGCAGGGCGGCACTAGCAGAAGTCAGTGCCGGGACCTGGGGATCAGGAGAGACTTCCTGAGGGAGAGGTGGAGGGGCCTCGGGGCTGGACGGCCCAGCTGAGAGAGCAAGCGCGTCAAGGGCTGGAGGCGGGAGAAGCCGTGATTCCCGAGGAGCAGAAGCAGAAAGAAGGGTCACTTACAGAAGGGGCAGGAGGCTGACCTGCTAGGCCAGGCAACTATCACCTCACTTCTGACAGATGGCGCTAGCCTCGGCGCTCTCCTGTCACCAGCCCAGCCCAGTCCCTGCACTGTGGCCACAGTGATCCTTGTATCACTGCCCACCTGGAATCCTTCAAGGCCTAGGTCTGTCTTCAGGATAAAGCCCAGACAATCCTCACAGCACCCTGCAAAGCCCCCGATCACTTGGCCCCTGCTCCGCCAGCTCTCCACCCCCAGGCTGGCCATGCTGCGCCGGGCATTTGCACATGCTGCTCCACCCATCCTGCCTTCTCCCTGTTGCCCGTGAAGTCCTCTCCTGACAGAGGCCCAACTCCAAGGCCCCTTCCTTGGGCAGTAGCCTGTGCGCTCCACCCTCCCACCCAACGCACCACTGAAGCCACGGGAGTGGGGGCCACTGGCAGGGGGAGTAGAGGCAGATGGGGACGCCCTGGACGGTCCCTGGGGAACACAGCATTGAAGGGACAGCAGAGAGGGTGCAGGCCACAAAGGAGGGCAGCAAGGAGCGGAGTGGGAGGAGGGAAAGTGGGAGGGGAAAACAGAGCCAAAGGAGTCTTTGAAGCTGCTGGGGTCTGCTGGGTGGGCCTACACGGGAAATATTTCTCTCTGACATCTCAGGACTTACAATTCTAAGCCTACTTGCACTTGCTAATTTAGAAAAATTGAACCATTACAAAGGACAATTAACAAATGATGTTCTACTTCAAAAGACATATCTATGGTTTTCAAGTGACACTGCTCGCCTCTTAGCTTCATAAGCTTCCCATTAATAGCAATTTCTTAGTAATTCTCTCTGTCCAACCATGTATACGATGAGGACGGCGAGCAGAGCCCATTCAGTATTTATTCTGGATCTTTACATTTCAAGGATGGTGCCTCTGAAATCACTGAGAATGACTTCTGGACAAAGAGCTTGGGCACTCCTTCAAGAGAGGAGAAAACCCATCAAAACGCATCTGACTCTCGGTGCAGCCTGTTTGCCGGCCGGCACGCATCTGGGGAAAAATACAAAGTACCCAATGTACTTCTTACTAAATGAAAAGAATAACAGCCCACGGCTCGTTTCTCGGGCTTGATGAAATAAATTCAGAAATGTGTCTGCAAATCATTTCACTTTATTCTGAGGAGGAGAAATGATAACTGCTTCAATTATAATTAGGGAGTATTTGAGAACTGAATCCCGCCAGGGCTGGGGCGATTATGTTTCCTAGCACTGCAAAAAAGGGTCTGGTCCAGAGAGAGAGGCAGTGAGCAGGGGGAGGCCATCACAAACGCACTCTGGAGGTGGCGCTGCGAGGCTATAGAGGGCTCTTCTCCAGGCCCAGGAAGGGCAGCAGGGTCTAGTTGAGAATCTTCACCCAAACCAAATGGTAACTTCAAGATAGCCCTTTCATCCTAGCCCTCCTAGCCTCACCCCCTCCTAACACTTGTCCAGGAGTGCGAGGGAGCAGAGGTGTGCATACCACGTCCACCTACAACTGCAATGTGAAGACATGTTCTCCCAGCAAACCTAGGAGGGTGCCACAGAGACCTACGTGCAGAAAGCTTGAGCCTTGGGCTCTGTCGATCTTGTTAAAGTACCAGTACCAGTTGCTGTCGGGTTGATTATGACTCACGGAGACCCCATGTGTGTCACAGTAGAACCATGCTCCATAGGGTTTTCAATGGCTGATTTTTCAGAAGTAGACTGCCAGGCCTTTCTTCTGAGGCACCTCTGGGTGGACTCAAACTGCCAATCTTTTGGAAAGCAGCCGAGTGTTCAACCACTTGGATCACCCAGGGACTCCTTTGTGGAAATTGTTGTTATTGTTGGTTGCTGTCGAGCTGATCCTGACACTTGGCGACACCACGTGTGCTGAGCAGAACTGCTCCATAGGGTTTTTAAGGCTGTGACTTTTTGGGAGCAGATCACCAGGCCTGTCTTTCGAGGCACCTCTGGGTGGGTTCGAACCACTAACCTTTCAGCTAGTAATCATGTGCTTAACCATTTGCACCCCCAGGGACTCTTCGTTACAGCAGGGATCTTACTTTCATAGGTTCTGTCCCAAATCTCTGTTATTGACATCGATTTGCATACGAATGAGGTAGTTTGGGGTGATGCCGGGTGGGGTCAGTTGGGCAATCTCTGGTCCCCTCCCAGTGAAACTGTGCATTTACTTACTGCTTCTTTCAACGCCAAACTCTTTTCCACTGAGAATATGGTGCAGGAGATTTTTCATATCGAAAGGGCTGAGGTTCATCAAACTTTCAGAAGCTTCTTCTCCTGAAAGCAAATGTGTTTTAAGTGTCCCGGACACAGGGCTGGTGACAGGTGAGGGCAGAGTTGGGTGGCCCTGGATGGGTGACAAAGGGTGCTGTGGATCTCCCTATTCCTTGGTGGTTCTAAATGCTGCTGTTGTAAATTGTGTCTTTTCTTAATGCTGCGACGTGTAATTTTTCATACTGTAAAGATCTCCAATGTTGGGATGCATCTTGCAGTTGACTTACATATTTAAGTTAGTAGCCTTCTCCCAGTGAACATGTTATTAAATGGGGATGGCATCTCATAGCAAGAGAATACCGGCAGGAGCTTGGAGGTCGGGGCAGGAAAGAAGATCCAGTGTCACTGTGGAGGTTCCAACGATAAACATCACTAGGGCCCAGCTCTTCCTGACTTAGGAGATTAAACCCCCTGCACTGCAGGGCCTGGCGGAAGTGACATCGGAATGGGAGAACCCGGTCAAGTCTGAGCACGTCCAAAGCTCTGAAGCCCTGGTTCAAGAATATCTGAGCAGGTGTCCCATCCCAGCGGAGCCCACATGCGGGCGAGGTGGCCTAGCACTGAGGGGTGGCAGGGTGGGGTGGGTGCAGAAGCCGCAGGAGCCCCTGCATCTTACCTGAGCAGTTCAGGCTCCGTGCCAGCTCCGTGGCCATCACCTGAATGATCAGTCCAATTCGGAGTCGAAGCATCTCCGCCAAGAGGCTGGGCTGGGCCCTGACGTACATGGCCAGGTAAACCACAATCTCCTGATGCAGACACAGAGCAGCGACAGAGCCTCAGAGACCAGGGAGGGCCCCTGGGAGAGGAGCCCAGCCCTGCCTCCCCCTGCCAGCCCCTAACCTGTGTGAGGACAGCGATACTGATGTCCTGCCCACTGGCTTCATAGATGAGTTTTGTGAGCTCCTCCGGGGGGAGGGGCCTAGGAGGGAGCAGCAGGTCACAAACACAGAGAAGCTGCCCAGGAGCGTGACTCCTCAACCTCCATGGAAGAGCCCTATTTTCCTCATGAGAAACTCCCGAGTGACAGAGTATCTTTCAGAAGCCCCCTCCTGAAGGGCAGCTAACACCGGCGTTGCCCTCACGGCTCCCCCACCAGTCTGGGCCCCAGGGACTTACGCAGAGATGGTCTTCTCCCGGGGCTCGGGGGGCAGGCCCACCGTGAGCTGCTTCTGGTGTGACAGCAGGTCCGCACAGGCCTATGCATTTGGAACAAGGGGGTAGGGGTGGGGAAAGGAGGCCCGGGAGGGTCACTGCCGATGAGATCAGAAACGTACCGTGACAAACCTTATGACTCACGTTGCAGTGTATTTGAAAACTTCATACTCAGACCCCAGGCTGAGCAACCTGAGGCAGGGCTGGATCCCAGTGGTCTGTGTATCTCTGCTGTGGGGCCCAACGGCCAGCCCCTCTTGAGGGGCATTCAGTGCAAACACACAGGCCTCCCTGATACTCAACCAGGAGGGCTGGGCCGCCGTGAGATACTGGCGGTCAGGGTTAATGACTGCGTTAAGAGTCCTAAATTGCAGGTTCCCCAACTATTCACCCACAATAAATATCATCACCTTAAACCATAACACTGAACAGAACTTAATCTCACTGTCTGAGAGAATGGCTCTGGAATTTGCAGTACCCAGGGTGGTAAATATTAATGGTCTTTGTATGGTGGATGTGCAGAAATAAGCGAGCTCTGTTTGAGAGGATGCCAGGGCACAGAGTGCCTTCCTTTTATGTCTTGGTAAACGTTTTCCTGTTGCTAAGAAGGAAAATTTCTTCTCTCACCTTTCAAGGCCAGTGGGAGGTCAGGGAGGAGGGCCTGCTTCATCTAGGTGTGAAATAACTGGTTTCCTTTACAAATAAGAGGTGATTGCCTCCAGCTTCCACAACAGGAAGGCTGGAGGTGGATGAGGGCACCGGGCTAAAGGGAGGACCAAGGGACAAGCCCAGCATGGTGGCTCTGACCTCTGCCAGGACCTCCACTTTCTTCCTGAGCAGACCCGAGATGTAGCGAATCAAACCCCACTCTTGGTTCAAGCCGGCTTTCGCATACAGCTCACTGAGGAGGTTGTGAACAGTCACCCCGTGCTGTCCAGAGAGACTGGTGTCCCAGCTAGGGCCCCTGTAAAGAGGTAGAAAAACCCAGAAATATGGCGCTGACTGTTGAAAGGCTGGAGTCTTTCAGCAGAACAGACCTGGTAGGGAGGGGAATTGCTGTGCGCTCTGCCAAGTGCTGCTGATGGTCGAGAGAGCATCTATTTGAGACAGAAACCTAATGTCACGGAACTGAAATTCTGGACTCCTCCAGCCTTCTTACCCTGGGAGGCCAGCACTGAGTAGCAGAGAAGGGGAGGGAAGTCTCATCACGGTGACCCTGGGCAATTTGGGTGAATATAGGCATGGCCCAGGCTTGCTAGAAGGCCAAGGAGGCAAGCAAAAAGAATTGAGGAGAATGGAGAGGGCTCAACCTAGTGGAGACCACAGACTTACTTTATTACATAAAGAATGTACAAGATGTCTGCTTGGTCCTGTAGGTTTGAACAATCTTTCAGCTGCTCAACCAGCTTCTCACAGTCCACATCACCATGGTCATCTCGGGGCCACTGGAAATCACCTTCGGGAGCCTGGTGGTACAAAAGTCCAAAAGGAAGGGAGAAGGGTGCAATGAATGTATGGGCTTTCAGAAGATCCGGAAGTGAACCCCCACCCTGGCCTCTGAACTCTGGCTGTGCTGGGCTCCGGTGCGTCAGTGGATCTTCGACATCTTTTTATTTATATGCTTTTAGTATTTTTGATCAGTGAGTCATTGCATTGGTCAATGTTTGCAAGAGACTGGAGTGAACAGGCCAAAACTAACCTTTGGGGTTAGAAAGTGTGTGAGCAGTTACCTTTGGGGTGGAGAGGGAGGTAGAGATTGGGAGGGTACGAAGGGGGTAATTCACACAGGGCCATTGGCACGGCGGTAACTCATTGAGCTGTACGCCTCCGCTTTATGCACTCTTCTGTATATATGCTATACTTCAATAAAATGTTTTGGAAAATAAAACAAGCCAAAAAAATGTATGCGGGTTTGGAACAACCTGAAATTGAGGTCAGGTTGAAACATTCTCCAACAGAAACTGGATCTTTCTATTCATGTGAAATAAAATCAGAAGAGACTTCCTGGATAAAATAACAAATTATAGGAACTAACGGGGAACACCCTGATATTTTATTTTCCTGAGGCATCTTACACCTTTTTGGTTTTTTCCCCCACATTAAAAGCATTAGGAACAAGGGCCCTGTAGCCTGCTTTGCAAGCAGTCCCCCTGGGCCGGCCAGCACAGATATGGTTGGGTTAGGCGGGGAGCTAGTTTACTTCCTCGTGTGCTACATAGGTTTTGATAAATAGGCAGAAAGTCAGTAGCTTTATCCTATTCACAAAATATAAATGATCACATCACATTCAATGTATACACTGACGCAAATCAGATTCCCGAAGACTAAGTGGTTGGGTTCACCTCAAAACCCAGAGCTTCTAATTCTAAAAGTTCTAGATTTCAAGAACTACAACTCTTTCTTTTGAGTTCAACTATTTATAAAAGTTCTTGAGAGTAAAAGCACCAATGCAGAACATTTTACATTTTTTTAGCTATTTAAATACTTTACCTTTTTTAGGAGTGGCTGAGGAGAATCAACAAGATTCAGTGATTTACGATGGGTACTCATAACTTTAGTTGGCAAAGCCATGGGAACAACTGGAAAACAAAAGAATCAAGAGAGATCCTCTGAGGAGCGGGTATGGAATAAGAGAGTGAAGCAAGAAGTGGAAAAGTTGAGATACAGAAAACAGGAGAGCCAACCAAGGAGACAAGTAAAGGAAGTCTCCAGAATGATCATGAAGGAAGATCCCAGGACAAAAACTACATACCAGACATGGCGGGCAACCAGGCCAGAAGGGGCAGTGAACTTCAGAAATGAGCAAGTTGAAGGGCTGTCATCACCATGCCCTATTTCTCTTCTACTTTTTTTTTTAACCTATTGAAACTATTCTAGAATGTGCTCTACCAAAGCAAAGGTATAAATCAATAAAGGGGAAGACAAGCAATTCAGGCAACGGAATCCAACTGAAGAGATAAGCAAAGGAAATTCTAAGATGACGGTGAAGAGAAGTCACAGGATGACAGGTATTCAAGAGGCCTAGTGTGCAATCAGCCCAGACAAAAGGAGACTCACGGACTCTTAAGAAAAACAGTGGACTCCAGAGATTTGCTGATATTGACTTTGTGGAAATTGTATTGCGAGGTCATTGGAAGGTGTGGAAAAAAAGCAAAAGCAAATGAAAAGGCAACTATTAACTTTAGAAAAACAAAAGTAAAACTGGCAATATAATCAGTACATTATAATGCTCAGCTAGAAGAAATACTGCATGTGTATAATAATATAAAGACGAAAATTGATTTAACTAAACTTTTAATATAACTACACTGGTAGCGAGGGTAAGTGAAGCAGAGGAGTGATGATGTAAGACAGCTAAATCCTCATCCACATTACAGACAATCAATAGATACAGAATAAAACTGATGCATCACAAGACAGCAGTATAAACACATTATTTTAGAAAAATGGAGATATGTAAATGCCAGAAGAAACAGCTAAGAGTTGAAAGTGGCTGTCTCTAAGTAGGAGGCCTGTGGGAGTGGAAAGGGATGAGGCAGGAAATATCTGCATTTTGCTGTCATTTAGGATGCTTTAATTTTTTGAATTATGTCTGTGTATTACTTTGATAAAAATAAATTAATTTAATAGGCAGAAAAGAGTAACATACACGGAATTTCCAAACCCTTTGCTTTTGCCATGACGGAAAGTATATCCCGAGTGGAGTGGATGGCACTGAAAACATGGCGGTCCTCTGTCTTCTTACAAAGAGGGGGCAGATAGCACTTCGAAGACGTGCTTTGCAGCAGGTGGTTGATATACTGGTCCAGTTCATCTTGGCTTTCTGTAACTGGACAGACAAGAAAAATGGCCAGTGAAAACAAGCTGCAGAAATATTCTAAACCCATAGGAGTGACTATGTATGCCATGTAGTACCAAGTCAATGAAGTGGAAGGCAACACTTAGGTTGAGACATCTGCACGCTCATCCCAGCCCTAATGACGTAAAGAGAGATTTTCGTAGATAATATGTGTGCTTATAAATGTACTGTTTGGAAAAACTTCATCCTGGGAAAAGACAAGTCAAGGTAGTGTTTACATCACATCATCCCAAGATGAACTGAACAGTATGTGAGACGATCTGAAGGCCAGCAGTCATTGTCTGGTCTTTTGGTCTGATGTGTCATGAGTGAGTTAAGCATGACGGAACCCCCAGCCCCAATCTCAACTACTATCTGAAAGTAAAAATAGGTCACTTTAACCCAAGGGTTCATTCAGTTTGAGAAATGTTATATGCATAGGGTTACATCACTCATATCCAGTCAAGCCTAGACCATTCTACCATTTCCTTCGAAAACCCAAGCAGTGTATTTCCATCTTCAGGATGTATCTGGTGAAAAGCCCTAGTTCCTAAAACTCTTTGTCCTTCTAGGTTTAACAAAGCCCTACCTTTGAGGGCGTCGTTTGCAGTTTAGGTTTTGAAATTGGTATTTTATTCATTTTAGTACATGCAAGTTTCAGAAGCCTCTTTTTTGTTATTTTAATTACCAATCATTTTCTGTGCCTGAGCCTACTGGCAATTTTATCACAATGCCAAAGTTTAAATAAACTGAGTAAAGCACCTGCAAAAGTATTCCAAGCCATACCTTGATTACAGGTATCTTCTAAATACCCTCCTATATCCGAATCACTGTCAGGACTGAAGCTTCCTTCACTGGCATCATCAAACAACTTCTCGTCACAGTCAGGATCCAGGAAGGTCAGGTACGTATAGAATGAGGTGGTGAGAAATTCTGCAAGGTTCCCTAATTTCACTCTGCCGAGAAGACACTGTATTAGGAATATACGTGGAACATCGACAAACTTCTGCTATGAATCACTGAGCCACTTTTCAACAGCCAGGTGGTACTTCTGCCACAATCAATAAATATATGACTCTGTAGATCACCCCATATAAGCAGTCAGTCAAGAAATTCAAACAAAAATTCAAGAGAAAGTATAAAGTGGAAGCATACAGCATATCAAAGGCCAAAAGGAATCTCGCTAATTTCTTTCTCCCAAACCAAATACAAACCTATTTCACTGAGCCAAAGGTTTTACAAAACATATTGAACAAATCACTTTTAACCAGAACCAACCCCTGATTTTTGCCCTAAAAGCCAGTGGACCAGAACAAAACCATAAGTAAACATTCTCTAAGCATACTTGTATCATTGTTTATGAGTCCCTGCCACCCAATTCAGTCACAGAGGGGCAGGGGTATTATGATAGAAGAGACTTTTTGGAGCCAAGTGTCTTTCCAGAAGGAATGTGATGGCCGAGCTGTCACCTGAGTGGCTCTGTTACATTAGGCTGGGAAGAGCTCCGCTGAAACATGGGAGCAGGGGCTGGCCACGCGGGCTCCTTCCGCAGAGGCTGCGGTCTTCTAGTTCTGCAGGCCCAGCCCCGAGGCTGGGAGCCCGCCGAGTTCTACCCACAGGAAGAAAGACGCTCTGTGTGCTTCTTAACATAGGATCCCTCCCACTAGCCAGCCTCAGATTATGAGTTTGTTTAAATAGCTGAGAGAAATGTTTAAGAAGTAAACTGAAACATGCAGTACAAATTAATTTGTAGGTGCTTAAGCTTCAGAGGACAAATTGGGCTGCTTCGAGAAAAGATGGTCAGAAGGAAAGAAGAGCCTTCTCTGAATGGTGTAAAAAGCTTTCCCCCAGAGCCATGGGGCTAGTTCTACGGATAGTCTTGTTTACCGTGGTGGAGTGGGGCGCAGAAAAAGGCAATAGATGGTTCTCTCTGATGCAGTTAGTGGAAAGGAGTTGGATTTATTAGGCTAAAGAGAGAACAAAGGTGGAAGGGGAGTCATTTCAAAGGGCTTCTGATAGCAAGCTACCGCAAGTGGACCTATGGGTAGAGTCCAGTATATCTAGTGAGTCCAATTTTTAAAAAATCCTCAAGCTGAGAGTGAAAGCTACAATGAGATTCAGCCTGAATTATCAAGAGCTGAGTAGGTTCTTCACACAGTTCTGTGAACTGTGTGCCTCTCTCTCCACACAGGAGGCCCTCCTGATTCCCGGCAGCCTCCTCGGGACTCACGCAGACCTCTGCCCTAGCGGTCTTGTGACCCTGGCCAAGCCATGTCCACTCTCTATACAGTTCCTTGTCCAGAAAAAGGGAACACAGTCTACCTCACAACGTGGCAATTCAATGAGAGATCACATCAGAGTAACAGAGACGCTGGAAGTGCTCAATAAACGGTATTATTTTCACAATGGTGAGATTTGGGGGAAAGAACTTATTTTGAAAAAAGGTTCTTTATGAGCTTATGGTACTTTCTCCTGGTTATGATGCCATCCACCAGGTGATAACTTATGCAAACTGGAGGTCAAATGTCTGACAGCGGATAGACTGCAGCTGTGGGCCTGGCCCTGGAAAGGTAGATGGCCCGAGAGGGGCCAGGGGAAGCCTGAAGTGAGGGTCACTTGCTGTCAACAGCAGGCCCTGAGAGCTTAACGAACACCCACTGAATGCTGTCTGAGAGATGATTCAAGTTTCACATGGGTGGCTGGATTAGATAAATCTGAACTTCTTTTTAACTCTAAAACTCCTTGCTTCAATGTTCAATGATTAATACGAAAATGGGGGGCAGGGCAGCAGAAGACTTTAAAAAACGGTCAATTTACGTTCATTTTAAAAAATCACAAATCACCTCGCTCCTCCAAAATAGCCATCTTCTAGTTTTCTAATTGTAGAAAGAACTGCAGAATGAATGTCGGTGCCATCATTTGCTAAGGGGGAAAAAGTGATGGATTAGTTTACTTAATCCGGAAATACAATTTTTGGGGGCATGCATAGAAATGTTTTCATCAATACAATCTAACTAAAATACTTAGGACATAGAAGATTCCCAAGATAAGAAACCCAACTGCTAAGGGACGCCCCCTAGTACTTAGCTCTTTCCATGGGAGCTGTTTTAAGTCTTTTGGAAAGGGCCCAAACCAACACTGGGGCGTGAATGAGCCAGAGGAAATGGACGAGTTACTGAGCATGGTGTGGGTGATGGGGAAGGTGAGTGTGGGTCTGCCCGTCATCCGCCAGCAGGTGCACAGGTAGGCCAGCTCGATCCGCAGCATCTCCACGATCATCTCGTTGTCCAGGGCCAGGTAGAAGTGATGCTGGTCGGTGAACTGAAAGTCAAACAAGGCCAGGTAAAAACCATCCTTCGTCTGTCTTGAAATACAAGGTGTCACTCATGGCAGCACGAATCCTTATGTTTTGTTGCCAGGGAAAGGCTCGGTCCTGGCTTTAATCCGTCTGATCATGAGGCTGTCTGCCTCTCGATCCGACAAATCAATCTGTCGCCTGCTGGGAAGCCACCGCGCTTCATTAGTGCAGAAGGGGAAAGTGCGCTCCTAGATTTATTTGCAGCTCCTTTCTCAATACTGCTGTCCCTGAAAGCAAATCGATAACTCCTTAACTCCTCCTCTTCCGGGCTGCTGGATTGGGCGAGAGCTGCAAAGTGAGCCAGCCACCGCGAGCAGGTGAGCCGTGGAGACTTTGTTTACCTGATGGATGACCTTGTTAATATGGACTACAGGTACTGTTGCCTGATGTTAGCGACAATCAAACTGTCCTCTTGGCCTCAGGACTAGTCCACTCTTGGCTCTGGACTGAAACTCGTTAATAGAGGAAATAGCTCACAAGATTTTTGGTGAGCAGAATGGGCTAGGATGAAAAAGAGCAACCCAGGGCTACAATCCAAGATTCCACAGCCAACCGTGTGCCCAGGTAGTGAGGGCTGCATTCCACATGGACAAAGCTGTCTTTCTAGCTGCTCAAATGGATGAAAAACATTTGGTATGCACTTCCATGGGACAAGCTTTCTTTGGAAACAAAAACTTGAAGGAAGACTTCCATAATCAGAATCCTAAGCAGAGTATTCAGTATCCCAGCCAGGGGCTTGGGGTCTGAATACCAAGACTGGCTGTATGCCACACAGAGGGCATGACAACAGCCTATGCAAGTACTGGGGACTAGCGGCAACCAGGGGCATAAAGTGACATGTGACTAACAAATTTGTAAAGCAGTGTGTCACTAGTACTCATGACTAGAAGTGATGCCCACTCAGTGCAAGCCAAAAAGCATTCATTGAGCACCTACTGTGAGCAAAAAAATTGCACTAGGAACTGGATGGCATCTTACATGTCTCTGCCTGAACATGCCCATGCATCATCTCCACGTTCAAGGAGAAACGCCCACCAGAACAGAAAAGAGAGCAGTACAAAAGGATGCTTGTTGCTTTGCTCCTGGCCTACTCTTCTCACCTGGGGTGTAAAAGTAAAGATCTGGTTTCTAATCACATAGAGTTTAGACGTGCCAAGGACACCAATGTGCCGATACGGTCTCCCACTCAATTTCATATTCTTGTTGCGTCCTATTCGAAAATCAAAGAGAAACTGGAGTTAGGGTAAATACGGTAATAACTAATCCAGGCAACTTAGGTTAAGGCTGGGCTTATTTTTATGTTAGACAACCCATTTTGGAGTTTGGGGACAAGGCTGAGGATCAATAAACAAATTCTACCCCCCTTCTTTTCATGCAAATATATGAATAGCACCCGGTTCAAGAGCCCTATGGAATCAAACTATTAAAAGGCCTTTTGTAAACGTTTAATTTCTTTAGTACTGAGCCATAATATTAAACACAGTCAGATTTTTAGGAAGTCGAGAGAACACCCTCCCGTTTTCAGTATGTAACCAAGTATTTTCTGATACTACAGATGAAAACGATCAAGACAAAAATGACAGCTCTGTTTGTGAATTTTCAAACTTGGGCTCCTTATTCCTGCAGCAGAGCTGGCTCTGGTCCACCCCACCTGCCCCGACATCTCCTGAAGGACATGAGAAGAACCACTTGTGCACAAGCAAAGCTGTGGGGCCACCTGCTGTATTGATCGTCCCAATTCTTTAGAACTTGCACCCATCCCAGCCCCCTACCTGACCCCAAACCTAGAAATGAGATTCCCCCTCGCCAACCATGCCCTGATACTTCCCTAGACCTACCGAGCTTGGCATATAAGTGGCTCAGAATCCGGCCAGGCTGGACCCGAATCGGACGAATGTCGGCAATACTCTGAATGCTTATCCCATGTTTCTTCAACAACTCCTTAATGTGACTGTTTTCTGCCAAAACAGTGACTGTGGACAAGAAGGGAGAGGGCGTCAGCCTGAGACTCTGGTCTCCTCGTGTGGTTCTGCATTATTTATTGTTCCCCTCCTCGGGCCGGGAGAGCCACATTAGCATGCTCTGCCACGGAGATATGCTCTGAATATCACGGCACACGTGCTGCTGCTGCTCTGCCTGTCTCCCTCTGTTCTCTCCTCCCCTCAACAACCATGATGCATATTTATCAAGTATCCGCAATATGCAACAGTCTGAGCAGAAACTTCTAGAAATCATCTTCACCAGGTCCCGAGCCAAATTATCCCATTCCAACAGCTGTCCTGCCACCCTCTGGGTCTGCACTTGTTTTGAACTTGTCTTGTGTTCTTTTGATATAGCACACTGGGGTCCTGTCAGGAGCGGGGGAGGAAGAGCTCCATAGGGGGATGCCAGGAGAAGCCTGTGTCCCTGGCCCCAAAGGACAGTATGAGTGGACTCTGCTCACACTGGGTGCTTGGACTGAGGGGGGACAGCGGTTGGGATAACCTACCCTCCAGACAGCAAGGAGAGCTGGTGGCTGGTGGGGATGCTGGGGCGGGGGTGGGGCAGCCTGGCCCACCCAGAACCACAGCACTGGGCCCGACCCTGCCCCCACCCCGGGTCCCGTTTGCAGAGAGCCAGATGCCCCGCACTGCAAATGGGACCTGGGGCATCTGGCTCTCCAGCAGGAGGAACTCAGGGGGCCTGGATGTGGGGGCCTGTGGTGGGGGTCAGTGCCCCCACTTGGGGCCACATAGGGATCAGCTAGGCCACACCTGCTGGCCTCAGCGAGAAGGGGCAGTGCTTGCGCAAAGGGAAGGTGTCCCGGGGAGGGCACTGGACGGGGCAGTACTGGCCACGGGGAGAGTGGGCGGTGGGCTGCAGCAGAGCCTGCTGCGAAGTGCAGGGGTCGGCAGGCACTGTGCTAGGCCAGAGGAAGAGGCTCGGCTACTGTTCAGGTGGCTGCCGACCCTCACCACTGTTCCCACAGGCTGGCAGGAAATGCCACCGAGACCTGAATGTCACCCTTTATATATATACAGCACTTGACACTTGTCACAGTATTTTACTATCCATGATGTGATCTGAGCTTCCCAAGCCCTCGAGGGAAACACTGCATGCTGAAATGGCCAGCTGGGGCTGAACAAGGGCTGGAACCTAGCCCTCCAGGTCCCAGCAAAGGGCCTGGTGGGTGGCTTCCCCGAACATCTCTCTCTTCTGGGGCTTCCAATGGCATGTGGATATCCACAGTTATTAAAACCACACACTCTCTGACGACGTTACCCTTTTCGAGCATTGGTTTGGACGGAGCCCTGCGCGGCTTGCAAGCTGACACGGCCGTGTGCAGAGACATTTCGGAAACTGCACTTCCCCTCACTACACGCCAGCCCCGCTGACATTTTCCTTTCCAGTCTGTTACATTTTTAAAAATGCTGGTCAGGACCCAGCAGCCTGGCCCAGCCTGCAGTGTGACAAGAAGCCTTTTCGAGGGCAGCTGGTAGCACACGCGCCGGGTAAGGGCACAGACTCCGGAGTCAGGCTGTGAACAGGCCATCCGGAAGTCAGAAGTGGGTTCATACCCCCAGCCGTCGACTGCAGGGCCCTGAGTGAGGGAGTTAACCTCTAAGCCTCTAAAATGGGGCTGCTGAGAATCGTCATCACAATTTTTACCTAATCAGCACGTTGTGACAGGTCGGGGTGCCTCACAGAGGGCTTCGTGCACAATATTGACTGGGTGATGACCTGCAGGGTGTCTGGCTCTATCACAGGCACGCACAGCACAATGAGGCAGTGGTGCCCAAGACGAATACCTTTCATTTGTTCAATAATTGCTTTCAATGTATTAAGTGCATAGTGTCAATTAACATAGAAGCTACCAGAATGATACGGGCCTTGTCCTAAGAAACGTGGAGTCTGATTTAGGGGAAAGAAGGTAGCTGTACACGTGTTATGATGTAAGGTGGTGTATAAGAGTTCTATGAGGCATGGAAAAGGTTTTGGCGCTTCCCAACAAGTCCTCTCATTTAATCCTCCAAACAACCCCGTGAGGAGGGCTCGGTCTCTGCGTTTTACAAATAAGGACACTGAGGCACGGAGTGTGGCCAGGCAAAGCCGAAGCCACTGCCCCTCTCGGGAGGAGGAGCTGGCTGGAGCGGACAGAGAGGAAGGTGGAGGCTGGCGAAAACGTGGGCCTGGAGCTCTGACCAGACGGCAGAGCTCAACGGGAGGAATGACTCCACCCTCGCTTGTGTTCTCAGTTTTTATCAGGATCAGGTTCTATTAGTCAAAGAATCACAGTTACAAAAAATGGTGCTCAATGAATTAATTGTGCCCCAGATGGAATCAAGGTTTAGAAACAATTGCTTTGTAGAAATTAAACTTGTTCTTGGGAAGACTATTGTTGCCTTTGGGAGCTACTGAGTTATGTAAGGTATTTCACAGAGCTGCTATACGCTAACGCACACACATGCTTTTTTTTTTTTTAATTAAATAAGAAACTAGGGAACAATTTGAATTACAAATAGCATTGGTTTTTCAAAGTTAAACATGAATAGTAAACACACGCACAAACCTTGTACTACGACATCAGGTTTGACTGAAGTGGAAAATCTTCTATTTAGGGGATCAATTTCACCGGTGGCAAGAAATCCCTAGGAAAAGAGGAGAAACACTATGAAATATTGATTACCCAAAATTTCACCTTAAAGCTAAGTTTTAAAATGTAATTCGTTGGGGCTCACAATATGCAGTATGTTATCCCTTTATATTTTTTGACTCAATTGTTTGCTGTCTCTGAAATAGAACGGACCATTCAAGTTGCCACTGTAGACATGTACTAAATTTCTGGCACCTAGCCTTCCAGGAAGGAGGCTTGGTGGCGCCGCAGTTAAGTGGTCAGCTGCTAACTGAAGGGTTAGCGGTTCGACCCCACCAGCCGCTCCAAGGGAGAAAGATGTGGCAGTCTGCTTCTGTAAAGATTACAGCCTTGGAAACCCTATGGGGCAGTTCTACTTTGTTCAGTAGGGTCACTATGAGTCGGAATTGACTCGACGGCAATGGGTTAGCCCTCCAGGACTAATCAAATACTCCACTGTTTTGTGTGAGTGATAATAATAATGGTGACTAATATTTCCTGAGCCCTTACTGCGTGCCAGGGACTGTACGGAGCGCCTTTATGTACACAGTCACATTCAGGCCTAGTGAAGTGGGCATTCATATCAGCACCCTGGAACAGGTGTCAAGGTGAGCAGCAGGGCGGGGACTTGACCCAAGGCTGACCGTTCAGAAGTGCCGAAACACTCCCCCGCCTGCTTGCCAGATGTGCCCTTTTGTTGAATATGGCTCTCCTCACATTTTCTACAAATGGTCCGAGCCCTGAGAGGAACATGGTGCTCAGGGAGCTCTGAGGAGGAACTGGATCTAGTGCTGGGCCCGGACAAAGGCCTTCCATTGGAGCGGAGGAAATGGCTGAGCGGAGGTTACTTGTTTCTCATCATCTCACTGATACAGAAATCAGAGCTGCAAGGTATTGCAGAGATGATTAAGTCCAGTCTTCACTTTACAGATGAGGAAACTGAGGTCCAGAGAGGTTAAGTGACCTGCCCGAGGTCACAGAGGTAGTCAGAAGCAGGGCTGGCTTTCCAAAGCAGATATATGCATTTTCCTTACTAATAAAGACAGAAGTAGAAGATACGGTCCGTATGCCTAAGGACGTACCCAGGACACTGGGGAGCCTATGAAAGAGGTGCCCCACCTCAGCACCTCCAGCTCCACTGTGAGAGCTTCTTCCATGTGCTGAGAACCCCACTGGAATTCTGGCCCACTGTTCCCTCCCTTGTTTCTAGAGCCTGGCAGCCCACCCAGGGCTGGGCCGGCCTTAGAGGTGGCAGCCCCAGCTTCCTGCCCCAGGCTCTTCCCCCAAAGCCCTCCCCAGGGGCCCAGGTGCTCAGCCGGGCAGGTCCCCTGTGAAGGCTGAACCATCTGATCCACTCCCCCACACTTAGGACTGGGGATTGGAGTTCTAGGTGGCTCACTAGCATTTCCATCGCAAAAGCTTAAGCCTGGGCGTGGTAAGTCAAAGCTTAACAAAAAGAATGAGTTGGTGGCAGCAGACATTCTGGGTGGCAGTGTTGTGTGCTGTCTGAAGGAACTCCTGACTACAAAATTCACCACAGAAAACCCTGCCTGCTGCCTATTCACGTGGGGGACCTTAGAGTCCTTCCACTTCCTGTGCCTAGGACAGTGTCGAGGCAGCTGGAAGCAGATCTAGTAGTTTCCCAGACCCTGTATGTACCACAGATGTGCTGATGCGAGCTGAAGAAGCTTCCAGACTCTTGCTGCCCATCAACTCAAACAGGTTCCTGCTACAGGCCAGAAGCACTGGCAGGAGGGAATAGAGAGTGCTTGGCAAATGGCTGACACTGAGCTGGTTTAATGGAAATACTGACACACAAGCCCAGGAGTCAGGCCTCGGGGCCAGTGTAGTTCAGCTGACTTTAAAGGCATGAAGACGCAAAAGATACTCCCAGCCGCCCACCCCCAGCAGATAGCCCCAGGCGCGCTCCCTGCCCCTCAGATCAGCCTCCTTACCTCTGCCAACAGTGAGCTGAGGATGTACAAGGACTGACCCCAGAGATGGGGCAGCTTCCCCAGAGGCACTCTGTCCACTGTGTGAGGGTTCTTATACTCTTCGTCCACCTGGTTAAGAGAGAAGAATCCAAAGAGGGCAGAATGTCAAAGAATAAAAAGGCCAACGGTACCTTTCGTTGGGGAGCAAACTGAGAATTTACAAAGTGGTACTAAACGTGTCCCCTTGCACATTCAATCCCCTGGGCCAATTCTGTTCAAGAGCAGGGATACGCAGGCTAGAGAGGCTAAGGTCCAGATGCTGGGGGCTGCAGTAATAAGCAGCGGAGGTAGCGCTCAAATCTAGGTCTGGTTCCAGGCCAGTGCCCTTGCTGCAAGCACATTCATGGCAAGAAGCAAAGACACAGGCACTGAACTCAGTGCACAGCTCTGGGCAACAAGAGTTTCCTGGCTCGTGCTGACACGCTTGCTGGTATTACATGATCTACAACACAGGCTGAAAGCCACGGTTGGGCATCACTGGGTGGGAAGCTGGCCATCACCAGGGGTTTATAAACTCCGCGTGCCTATGCAAAGAAATACCAGTAGGTGGCGCTATTTACTGAGGAAATGCAATTGGACTACCACACCCACCTCTCCATTAGGTTCTCAAAAAGCTGAAGCAATCGGGGGGCTTCTGTCTCCTCAAAACACGCAACAGCTTTCTACCTGATGGACACTGCTGGCTACACAGTGTTAAGAGTTACTCTGCAACTTTCTCTCTTCTAAACTCCATGCCGGCCTTTGGGTTTTTACTCATCATTACAACATTGGTTAGGGAAATGTTACCAGCGGCCGTCAAGTCAGCTCCAACTCATGGTGATTCCATGTGTCTCAGAGTAGAACTGTGCTCCACAGGGTTTACAATGACTAATTTTTCTACGTCGATCGCCAGGCCTTTCTTCCAAAGCACCTCTGAGTAGACTCAAACCTCCAACCTTTCGGTTAGCAGCCAAGCATGTTAGCCTTTTGAACCACTCAGGGACGGGGAAATGTTAGTGACTATTTTTTTCCTCCAAAGGAGAAAAGTATATGATGAAGGGGCCCATTTTCTGCTGGTGGAGCAATCAGTGACCTGATTAATATATTTAGTAAGATTCTAAAAACTTGCAGTAGTAGTAAACATTAAGAAAACCTAAAGTGTGTAAGCTAAACAGAAGCAAACCTCACCAGTACTCAAATAAGCAAAGAGAATAATGATGTAGGAGATTTTCCAAAATGTCATAGTGGTTATCTTTACTTGCTGTTTTATGTCATCCCTGGATGTTGTGCAGGATGCAGGATTGCTTTTACAGTCAGCTGGTACCTCAAAGCTATTTGAAAAATTAGTAGTGTTAAGGAAGACTGCAAAGATCTAGAATGAGAAAGATTAGATGTGAACAGGAGGCAGACGAGGTGTCCAGGTCCAAAGACAGCCTTACTCTGTCCTCATCCTACCCACCCCAGTCCGCCTGAGCTGCTTGCAAGCCTTCAAATGCATTACACCTTCACTGCCACCATGCCTCCTGTCTGCCCCTCCTGCTTGCTGACCAGCTCCTCTGACCCCAGTCTCGCCCCCACTAGACGGCCAGCCCGCGGAGACCGAGATGGCACCTTAGCCACCTCTGTTCCCCTGTCATCTTTGTTGGACACATTTTCCTTAGTCTCAGGCAGGATGACAGAGAGGCCTGTGTAGGGTGGGGCCCTGCACAAGCGTGCCCGGCCGAGGAAATGAGTGAGGCTGAAATCCAAGCCGTAGGCCCTGGTCCGGGGCTGTGGCCACTCCCAGCACGAGGCCCCTTTTCTGATTTGCATGAAGCCACCATCTGGGCCTGTGGCGGTCCTGTCTGCAGGAATCCTTCTGAGTGGTCTCTACATGCTACTGTTGTGATGAATGAACCTTCTCAGCTGCCATCTGGAAGCAGCCAACACGAAATGCGGTCAACATTAAACAGTGTCCAAATTCGGTGCCTAGCACGCAAGCATAAACACGTTGAACTAAGGAGGAGGATGTTGTCGTGATAAACAGAAACCCAAGGGTCAGAGTGGAGTTTAGAAGAGAGGAAGTTGCAGAGTAACTTTTTATAATGTGTAGCCAGCACTGTCCATCAGAAAGAAAAGCGTAGCTTATAATGCCTAGCACTTACTGTGGTCACTAAAGTGCACCTGTCAACAGAACAGGGATGGTTACTGTCTACCATTAAACAGGTAAAATACCCCCGAAGTCATCTATTTTTATTTGCTCTGCTTCCAGGTTCCAAATAACCTCTGATCACTAATTTTGTTGCCAAATGCCTTGGCTCCAGAAAAGGAGCAACCTGAATAGGGGACATGAACATCTAGTTGCTGGAAAGTAACTAACCACCTGCACGGCCAGCCTCTCGCGTCAACACACACGCATCACACAGAGTACAATGAACGCATCTGCAGGAAATCTAGGCTTACGACACTTAGGGAGAAACTGGCCCCTGCAGGCTCTGTGGCCTACACTGGGAAGTGAAGGAAGACCATTATTTCTTAACGCCAAAGTCTTGCCCTTGACTCTGGAACAAATGCAGTCCTGAGAGAGCTTGGATGGTGTGAGCTTGTCTGTTCCTGCTCGGATGAGGGAACCATCAAGGCCAGGGCCAAGGGTCCAGGCTGGCGGGGTGAGAGAGACCAACGGAAACATACAGCAGCCTCGAGGGGCAGCCCAGGGAGTCCGGGCACGAACCAGCAGGCTGGCTGCACTGCTATAAGCTCAAAAGAACTAAAGGCTCCTAAATTTTTAAAACAAACAAACAAAAAACTGTTGCTGTGGAGTCAATTCCGATTCATAGGGACCCTGTAGGGCAGAGTAGAACTGCCCCATAGGGCTTCCAAGGCTACAATCTGTATGGGAGCAGACTGCCACATCTTTCTCCTGCGGAGCTGCTGGTGGGTTCAAACTGCCGACCCTTTGGTTAGCAGCTGAGCACTAACTGTTGCACCACCAGGGCTTCTCAAAGGCTCCTAGCCAACAGGATACTCTACTTCTCACAGAAACTCATCTCCTTTCTTTGGTTTTCTCACTGGTTCAATTGGTTCAATTATGTAACACATAATTACTCCTTCTAGATTAAATGAGGCCAAAAGTATACAAGTGGAACTTTTTTGCCTTAAGGATCAAGTATCAGACTCGTTGAAAATTTATTTTGCCTGCAAAAGTAAAAGGAAGTCCCCTACAGCACTGCTTTTGGAAGCCCAGTGAGAGCATCCGTGGCTTAGTTATTCTCTGTCACCTGGAGAAGTCCTACCCATGAGCTGGCAGCATGGGGTTGGGGCAGGCCCTGGGCCTGGGGTCTGGTCCCGAGCTGACACTCTGAAAGGTCCCTGCCAGCTCCTGCCGTGTGGACCTGACTCAACCACAGAACACCCAAATCCCAGTTGCTGCATGTCATGCTTTTGCAGGTTACAATTTCCTGTAGAATCTCAATTTTGGGGATGACACTGCTCTCTGAAGGGCCTTTTACTCCCCACAAAGGCAGCAGTGAAACTCAGAAGCAGTGGGAGCGCCTGAGGGACAAACAGCCTTGAATTAAGAATTTCTTTCTTCGAAACATTAGACGTTTAGAGGAAAATCTTTCCACCAAGACATGTGTCCCCCATGATCCAATTTAGGAAGCTAGATAGAACAAAACGATCTTTGGGCATCTTCTAGGAACTGGACAGTTTCTCTCTTCCTAATGTGGCACAAGAAGCCCTGGTGGCACAGTGGTTAAGCACGCAGCTGCTGAATGAAAGGTTGGCGGTTCAAATCCACTAGCCACTCTGCGGGAGAAAGATGTGGCAGTCTGCTTCCATAAAGATTACAGTCTTGGAAACCCTGTGGAGCAGTTCTACTCTGTCCTACACGGTCGCTATGAGTCGGAATCAACTTGATGGCAGTGGGTTTGGCAATGTAGAACAGCGTCTAACTCATCAGTCACTCAAAAACCCTAGCTTGGGAACTGTTTGAAGCAAAGGAAGAGATTCTTAACTCTGCCTTCTCCTGTGGGAAAGTGTACAAACAGGGTACACACCAGTGCTTTGTGCTTTCAGGGTTAGTTCTGCCTCTGTAGGGCCTCAGCTGATGCTCCCATGGTCCAGCACGCTCCACGTGTTTCTCCAAAGCCCTAAGTACTTGCACTAGACAGGAACTACCCATGGCTTTAGAAGACACTTCTGGAGAAAAAGTGTTAGTTAGGCCTAAACCCAAAAACCAAACCTGCTGCCATCAAGTCAATTCAGTTAGACCTAAAAGGGGGATGAAGATACCAAGTGGCCAATCACCAACTCCCTAAGTTCTAGACAGTGGTACAAAGGGCTCTGGGTCATCGCGGTACCTTGTTAGGCGGAATGGCATACAGTTCCGGCACCAAGTGGATCCCGTTCTTGCCTCTGATTAATATTCCCTCCAGGGCTTCTCGGTACTCTTGGACCTGGAAAATAGCCCCACACCACACAGTATAAGGAGGTCTTGTTGTTAATGCTGTAACAGCAGAGCAGCATAGAAAAACCGCTCTCATGACGACAGATTAGAACTAGGACATAGGGCAAAGAATGCAAATACCGTCAGCTCAAAGAGTGCAGAACAACTGGGACTCATGATGGCGGTGAGGGTTAGCAGGAGCTAAATGCCCCTGATTGCTTTTTTTCTGGCTGTGTCTAAGCTCAGCCCCACTTGTCCGGCTATCAGGGAACTGGACACAGCACCCCACAATGGAGCAACCATTTCTTCCTCAGAATCCCTAGAGTACCTGCACCTACATCCTGCATCAGACATCTTTCCAGGGCTGTCCTTAATCTGTAATTTAAGTACTTCACTCTTAATTAACTTTTGGCATACTGAAACTTTGTCTCGCCAACTAGATTTTAAACTCCTCGGGGTGAAGCTCATATCTTAAACCACATATCCCATTTCCACCTACTGGTAGTTCTGCACTTAAAAGACACTCATTCAAACATTTATTGCTCAAGATATACAGTGAAACCTGCAAAAGCCAGAACCTAGATAAGGCGGAAACCCGTTAGAGAAGGAAAATGCAAATGTTTTCCACTAAAACGAGCGATAGAAAAGTGGTAAGACTGTACCCTGTCAAAGGCGGAAAACTTGCGGGACCTGGAAAAACAAGGCAGTCCCGTCAAGTTCTGGCTCTCACAGGTTTCACTGTATTTGGTGGAACAAATCTGACATGATAAAAAGGAAATGCACGCACTGTGATCCATGTACACCAATTCCTAGGGTGCACGACTCAATATATGAAAAGCTGCTGAAGCAAATATTTCCACTCAATTAAAAAAGCAATGATCTAAACCTATCTTTTAAAAGGGAAAAGAAGGTGTTATATGTATTTTTATAACAATTAAAAAAGGAAAAACCAAAAAGAGAAAAAAAACTTTAGCTAGCCACCAAGCTATTTAACACATTTTTCTTTGGAGAGACCAAATGTCTTCCAGATCTCATTTTCTTTTCTTTTTAAATCTATGGACGGCAAAGCATGATCGCAAGTCTATCATTTTTTAACTAGCACGAGGCAACAAGTGGAGGAGGCATGTGAAGAACAGAAACAGTGGGGAGCAAAGCTGGAGGCTGGGAGACCAGTTAGGAGGCTGTTACAGTAAATACAACGTTAGCTGGAAGCACCCTTAAGCTAGAGCTAAAGACAGCAAAACCACTGGCTGATATGGAAAACAGAAACGAACCGGCAGCAACACCACCACCTACCCGTGATCGACTGTGCTTTAGTGGTCCCCAATAAACCACACTTCCTAGTGCTAATGCCCTTGTGTAGTCCCCCCTCCTTGAATACGGTGTGGGCCTGTGACCTGCTTTGAACAACAGAAATGTGACAGAAACGACACTGTGCCACTTCTGAGCCTAAGCCTTAAGAAAGCTTGGCAGCTTCGACTTTTGTGCTCTGGGGGAAGATAACCACCATGTAAAAAGGCTAACTGCTAGAGACTACCATGCTGTGAGAAGCTAGAGCTAGCCATGTGGACAGGCCATAGGGAAGAGAAGTAAGGCCCCAAGATCCCAGCCAACAGCCCAGCTGATAGCCAGCACCAACTAGCCAGCCATGTTAAGTGAGGCCATCTTGAAAGTGGATCCTCCAGCCCCACTGAGCCACCCCAGTTGACACAGGTGGAACAGAGATAATTTGTCTCTGCTGAGCGCTGCCCAAATTGCAGAATCATGAGCAAATAAATACTTGGTGCTTTAAGTCGCTAAGTTTTGGGATAGTTTGTTAAACGGCAACAGATAACTGAATCAATGGTCTGTATTTTTACATAACCCTATGTTTTAATAATAATTAGCACACCAGTGGAAGGAAAATGCTTATTATCAACACAACACCCAGCATTTCCTCACCTGAATGGCGTCCCCGTTGAAGACTCCGTCAATTATGAAATATGTCCAGAACACAGGCCATTCACATTCGATGTTTTCAAAGAGTTTGAGTTCCGCAGGATCATAATGCAATCGGTTTGGGTCCTGGAATCCAATCGAATGTACACATTCTAAAAGGCATTGTCAGATTACATACATAATACCATTGTACCTCACTGGGTTTCCCTCGCTTGTCTGATCTAAGGCAGTCTTGAGGTCGGTATGATTAGGAGGATTCTACTATAATGAGGAGACACTATTTTTGGCAGTTTTCCATGGTAACATTTCAACAAAATAAATCTGGAATATACACAAGACTCCTTGGTAGCTTATTATATTAAGGCATTCCATATCCCTAACAAACAAATAGCAATTTGCCTCACAGAGTGCTTGGCAGACTGTCTGCTTTATTTATATCATTATATTCGTCATGATGGCAAAGAAACCCAAGGAGGAGGCCATGGTTGGTCTTTAAAAAAAAAGTGTGAGCCACAGAACTGTTTGTCCCTGTCTACAAGGTTTGAAACTAACTAGCTTGCTGTCCTCCTGATGATCTTACTATTCTATCGCCTAACTCCAGGCTTGCTGACTCCAAAATTAATAGTTCCCTTTCCAATATTCCAATATATAATTATAATCAAAACAGCAGCAACTCAGATATGAAGCAGTTAATGGATCATAACAAGCAATCTTTAAATACAACCTCTCTTGGGGTTTTATAACCATCTCGAAGGAAGCGGCAACATCCATAACGGCCCTAATAAGATAAAGAAATAAAATGCAGTATATTTGAGGAAACAGAGGAATTTCTTTGCCTTTTTATTTTAATGCCAGTCAGCCCTTCACCCTCTTTCCCCTGAATCTTTCAGTTAGTAATGGAATTTGTACCAAATGCTTTTTGCTATCAGTACAAAGCATTATTTTTAAGTACACCTACTCCTCATTTATCGACTACCTCGTTATCTGACATTTTGCATTTACAACAATAGTAAAACATTTACTATACGATTATTTTGCTCATTAATGACGTACGTCTGGCAGTAATGAACACCGAGGTGTGAGGCGAGACTAAAGCTGGCTATGATGGTTAAGGTTATGTGTCAATTTGGCTGGGCCATGATTCTCAGTGGTTTGGCAATTACATAATGATGTAATTCAGCAGTTATATAATGATACAATTTGGCAGTTATGTAATGATGCAGTCATCCTCTATTTTGTGATCTGATGTTGTCATCCTCCATTTTTGCATAATGGCGACTTTCACATAACGACCTGGTCTTTAGAACCTAACCCTGTCGATAAGTGAGGAGTGGGTGTAATAAGCAAAGTAAATTCAGATTTGATCAGTAGTTGGAAGGGAATGTCAAAACACTCCATTAGAGCATTAGGGCTGCAAGAGTGATTAGGAAGAGTTCAGTGAATGGCCATCCTTCCAGTCCAATTCACTGAATCACACTGAAGTGGGGTTCAACGATGCTGGCTTGAGTACAAGCTCAGTTAGTTAGGAACAGACAAAGTCACTTCACCACTCAGAAACTTCTGTAGACTCAACTTTGGATATGGCACTCCATGAGTCTACTTAGAGAAATGAAGCTGTTAGCCTCACAGAGAACCGAGGCATGGGTGAGCTATGGTATGTCACCACGTGAAAGCAGCACTTAGCACAGGGCAGAGAAGCACCGGCATGACTCACACTTACCTGTAGCTTGGAAATAATTTCATTTTTGGTCACATGTACAAGGGTCGCATCTTCCACTGCAAAGGCTGGGAAAGAAATAATGGAAAGCAGCCCAGCATCAATCTCTTTAGACGTCGATGCTCTTGGCAACATGGAGAACAGGATGGACTGAAAGAAAACCGAAGATGTGGCTTTAACCAGGAGGAGCGCAAATGGTGGGATACAGTATCTAGAGACCATGACTCATTCAGATGAGTGCCAATTTTGTGTAGAACTTGGTCCTAACAACATGGCCCTTGCTGAGGCCTCACCTGTCCAGCCAATGACTCCTGCTCCTTGGAGAGAAGTAAGGGATCAGGGAGCCCCCTGTACTGCCTGGAGCCTGTGCTGAGAACTGCTTGTCTCCCTTCCTTCCAGGCCCTCTGTTGACTTTGTGGGCCTTTAGGAAGTGCAGGGGATGAGCTACAGGACTACCTATATACAGTGTCTCCTGGCTGTGAAGACAGAGAACAGAGAGACCAGGAAGAACACACATACGGGCCAGCCCAAGAAATGTCTGGCTTCTGTAGAATGTGACTACTTGGACTGGGTGGCTCGAAAACCACTTCAGAAAGGAGTCAAATCCAGAAGCCCCGATGAACATCTGTAAACTGGTAAACAACAGAATTCCTAGAAAGAATGGTTACTTAGCAGCACTATCATATGACCTCAGTTACAAGGTGGTTGGATTAGGCAATCTTAAACTAAAGGAAGTTGAAACTATAAGGAAAAGTTCGGGAAAGGAGGGAGCAAAGACTGAGATCTAATACATACAGATGTGGGGTTAACCCCCTGCAAACATAAGGCTTAGTAACACTTCCACATGAGGAAGGAATTAAGGTATTAGATCCAATTAACATATGGGGACTCTAGACTCAGACACAGATACTCGTGCCTAAGGGCACACAGCTGGCAAGTGACAGAGCTAGGATCCTAACCCAGGTCCACTGGCTACAAAGCTCACGCAATTTCCAGTAGACCGCACATCTATTGAGACACACACCAGCCTTATTCTATAAAACTGCACTCCTAAGAAATACTAGATTCCCCACTAAGGACTGCTTAATGGGGGAAAATGGAGTGAGCTAGAGGGTGGGGTGAAGATGGGTAGAACTCTTCAGTTCAGATTAAAGCTTCTTTGTCTGTAGTCAACTGACCCCCAGGCCCAGTTCTTTAGCTTGTCACTCTTTCCTAGGCCTTCTCTGCCTGGAGACAAGCATCCCACCCACTGGAAGCTCTCCATTGAAAGGTTTTTATGTATCTGATTCCCTTTGGGTATAGCATAGTACCTGGCACAGTGATCAACTATGCAGTTGATGACTGCTTAATGGAGTCCCCCAGTCTGGATCAAATCACTCTGTTTTTCTGATCTGCATTTCATAGAGGTTCTGTTAGTTTGCTATTTCTCCCACCCATCTCTCCAACACCCATTCCACTCATCCCCAATCCACCCACCCCCCAGTGAACTAGTCCCTCCTAGTCATTCAATTTTGGGTAATGTGAAATAAACCTGTGGGAAGACCACCTGTGTTCAATAAACATGAAACAGATTTTATCCCCAGCAAAACAAGGTTGCCTTGTTTGTTGATTCCATACACACAACATCACTGTGTCTTATGTTTGCACAGTATTTTCTGGCTTACAAAGTGCTCTGACAAATAGCCTAAACTGATTGAATCTGATCCTTACAATTACCTTGTGAGGTAGGAGGGGAAGGCCCTAGCATGCCCATCTTATGGATGAAGAAACTGAAGCTCAAAGAAGCCAAGTGTCATCAAGCTAGAATGGTGGGGAATCTGAACTAGAGCCAGTTGATGATTCCACTTCCCTATTCTCTGGAACAAGGAACCCTGGTGGCGCAATGGTTAAGTGTTCGGCTGCTAACCTAAAGGTTGGTGGTTGGAATCCACCAGCCACTTTGTGGGAGAGAGACTCGGTGATCTGCTCCCATAAAGATTACAGCCTAGGAAACCCTATGGGGCAGTTCTACTCTGTCCTATAGAGTCAGAATCGACTTGATGGCAGTGGGTATTCTCTGGAATACAAGAGGCAGAGCTGTTACCTGGCAATGCTCGACCTCATCTGGCAGGACATGGATCACTGACTTGCGTCCTCCATGAGCTCCAAAAAGGTCCAGTTCATCAATTGCCTCAAGTGCTGCCTACAAGCACAGGTATGAGTTACTTTTTCTTTCTAGTAAACGTGCACTCCCATATCTGTACTCCTTTTCATTAAGCAATCTGGCATACATGTTTTCCCAAAGATGATGAAACATGTCTTTAAGATCCAGCTGAATAGCCCCATTGTCACGTTCTATCATTTTCAGTGGACAGGAGCATCCCTGTATGTTGCTGCTCAATGCAGAACAAGAAAGAGAAACAGAGGAACAGAAGAACATTTCCCAAAATAACATGCATATTCCACCAAAGAATGAAATACTACCAAGTTCATAGCATTTTGTGTGGGTGCCACTAAAGTCATCGTCAGCTCTTCTTTCACCTGTTTTAGCTGTTCACTTCTAACATTAGCATATCTGGTACTTCAGAAAGTTCATTCTTTTGGTAATAAGTATGTTTTCAGTCTGTTTACCTTAATAGAGCATATTTATACGTTTCTTCTTTTTTTTTTAATTCCAGCTCTGGGATCTTTACTCTGTCCTAAAATATACGCAAGAGATACAAACTGGGGGCTGCAGACTGCCATCTGCCCCACGGGTGTGTTTTGTTTGGCCTGAGAGTATTTTTTAAATGATTTGGAATTGGAATACCTTTAGAGAAAAGTTCCACAGTCCCCGGTACTCCCCAATCTTTGTATACCTGGCCCGCTTCACGCGTTTCCGTTATTTGCCCACACCAGGCTACAAAGTGGTCATAGTCTTCAGCCCAATTTATGACCCAGAAAGGAAGACTGAATGTCAAGCATCCAGCTCCTGAAATGGTAAGAACTTTGACCCACTGGTGGTAATGATGGATAGCAAGGACGGAGGGCATTTATTTTCTGCCACATACAGATTTCAGCTTAGGAAACCTACGTTCTTTAATAACTTTACCTATACGTTTCAGCATGTACCACTTGAATTTGCACCTACTTGCTGCTGACTTTTGAAAAATGTGCTAATCAGATTAAATCCAGATTCCCAACGAAGAGAAACAAACCAAAGCAGTAGAAGAACCCAGAAGGAATAACAAACAGGACGGCTGGTCACCTTGGCCATTCCAACAGAGCTTGCATTCAATTCCGGTATGCCCTGGTTCGTCTTATCTCCACGTTCCCACATGCCATAATCCTGGGGGAGAAGAAGGCTGTCATCAGAGCAGAGGAAAGAGGAACGCTAAGGAAAAACGATTTCTTTCTGTTACCGCAGGCAGGATGAAACATGAGGCTTTCTTCTCGAAGGCTCCCAAATTTGTGGCTTTACGTACTCATGCTATGTTCTTCCTCAATTTCAGCGCATTTGACCTCCAAGCAGAACTTTGGAAGTAAATACTCAGGTGGAACAAAAATGCATGCAAAAACGCTCTCGAATTTCTCGCTCCTAAAAGTTATTAATTTGCAAGAATCTCCTGATTTGTAGGAAATAAAATATTTTATCTTAGAATCAAATACAATGCTGCCCCGCTACTTAGCTAATCCCTTTGAACTTATATTAAATTGTAAGATGAAATAAAGAAACTTTAATAAATGGGTTATTACTAGTTGAAGCCAACAAAACCATTTAAAATAATGTAATATCTATTTTTAGCATTACCTCTTGGAAAAAAATGCTCAGCAAGTAACTGGAACCCAAGTCAAAACAGGCGCAGAACACCGCACTCCCACGGTATTTGAAAACCGATGAATAAGAATTGGTTCAGAACACTCTGTCCACAGAGAGGAATTGTCCACACAGAGGACTTGATACATGTGTCCCTACTTTCTTTAACTCTTATTTTCATTTAAAGGAACACAAGCACTTGATACTGCTTTAAAATAATGCCATGATGGATACACACTATGGAAAGACTACAACCCAACAAGAATGGAACTGATGCCAAAAGTTAGTATGTATATATGCAGTTTTACCTCTAAAGATGAACATTTTCCAAGTGTGAAAATTGTGACTTAGAAAGACTAGAGTAACTTTCGGCTCTTCCCTGCCAGGCACGCCTTGTAGCAGAGTCCCAGGATTCCTTCCTTCAGTACTTCTCACAGCTGGGCCTTTCCTCGCTCCAACCCATCTTCAACCACAGAGCCAAGTGATTCATCCTCAAAAACTGCTTTTATCAGCTCACTCCCCTGCTTTAGAGTCTAAAATGACACACTGTCTCTACCCCCTGCTCCAACTCCACACGCACAGCTGACTTCCTTTTCTCCTATTCTCCAATGTTCACCTTTCACTCGAGGTCTGTTCTTTTCCTCTGCACCCCTTCCCCCAGGTACCCCCGACACACCCCAAGCCTGCTGCTACCTCTGGGACGATGCTCATGCTGTTCCCATTCCCCAATGCTCTTTGGCCTCCATTCTCTTTATCTAAGCCCTACTTACCCTCCAAGGTTCAGCTGAAGTCCACCCCTTCCACAAAGACTTCTCAAGTTACTTTAGACCAGGGTTTCTCAACCTTGGCACTATTGGCATTTTGGGCTGGATAACTTTGCTGCAGGGGGCTATCCTGTACATTGAGGGATGTTTAGCAGCCTCCCTGGCCTCACCCACTAGATGCCAGTAGCACCCTCCTCTTGCAGTTGTGACAACCAGAAATATCTTCAACCAAATAAAACCTGTTGCTATTGAGTTGATTTTGACTCACAGTGACCAGGTCCCCTGGGAGGCAGACTTTGAGAATCACTGCTTTAGACCAAGGGTCAACAAACCACAACCCTTGGGCCAAATCTAGTTGGCGATCTGTTTTTGTAAATAAAGTTTTATTGGAACACAGCCACACTCATTTGTGTACTTATTGTCCATGGCTGCTTTGGTGCTACAAAGGCAGAGTCAAGTAGCTGCAACAGAGACCATATGGCCTGCAAAGCCTGAAACATTTACTCTCTGGCCCTTTACAGAAAAAGTTTGTCAACCCTTGCTTTAGACAATAGTGGCTTTTCTTTGTTTAAGCCAACTTCTATCCTTACTGCCCATATAGTCAGCTTTGCACAATTTAGTTGTTCTCTGGAAACCCGGGTGGCATAGTGGTTAAGAGCTATGGCTTCTAACCAAAAAGGTTGGCAGTTTGAATCCACCAGGCACTCCTTGGAAACTCTGTGGGGCAGTTCCAGGCTCCACCTTCCAAAACAGACAGTAAGCCCAGGAGGAACTGGGTTTTACACACATCTGCACCCACATCGACCTGGCCACAGGGCCAGGCTCTGGTGCTGGCTGAGTGTGCATGCTAACTGTCCTAGTGACTGGTTTCACTCCCTCCATGTGGGCTGGTCAGGGTGACCCCATGCACTGCACTTCCCACTCAGGCTCTGATGCGGTAAACCTCTTCAGTCTTGTTTCAGGCTGGCCAACTATATTCCACAGGACATTTTAGGGTTTTATTTTAAATAAGCATAATGGATTCTGTGGTGAAATGAGTTCCTTTATGTGGCCTTTTGCCTTGGTTCTTTGGAAAAACAGCTTGAGAGATTTTTCCCCTAAGCCCTGAGGCGCTACCTTTGCCCCAGTTTTCTACCCCAGAGGGTTTGTTACTTTTGTCCAGGTTGATTGACATTTCCTAGGCAAGCTGTAAATAACTTGATAGTTTGATACTTTTTGTCTGGCCCTGGGCTGCAGCCTGCCCTGTGATTGGTCTATTTTATGCACCTTGCAAGAATTGGTCAATATACTTATGCAAATGAAGTGACTACAGCCTACTATGCAAATGAGGTGACTGTGGCCTACCAAGAGGGGACTGGTTAATTTGTGCCCCTGGTGGGAGGGCCATGCCTTGAAACTGACCAGGAGTTTTGCTTATATAGGCAGCCATCCCCACAGAGGTTGACAGACAGAAAGAGAAAAGCAGCAGCAGAAACGAGAAAAGGTAAGAGAGAAGCAGCACAGACAGGAGGTGAGGAACCGCCTAAAAGAGCTGTAACACAGGTGAAGGCTATAACACTAAAAAAAGAGAGAGGCCCAGAAGGGGCCCTGCAGCAGAGTTGGTGGTGACAGGCCCAAATAGGGCCCTGTGGCAGAGTGGGTGGTGACAGGTCCAGAAGGGGCCCTGCAGCAGAGTTGGTGGTGACAGCTGAAACCTGCTGCTAGGAATGCAGCTATGAGAGTTGAACAAAACTTCTACATTGGCTACGAGCTGGATCAGTTAGCAGTGGAGAGGCCCACAGCAGGGAGGCCAAAGGCAGACAGGCCTGTCCTCAGCGGGCCAAGAGGAGGCCTGTCCTCAGGGGGCCGAGAGGAGGCCTGTATAGATAGCTGAGAGGGGGCCAAGAGGAGGCCTGTCCTGAGGGGGCCGAGAGGAGGCCTGTATAGATAGCTGAGAGGGGGCCAAGAGGAGGCCTGTCCTGAGGGGGCCAAGAGGAGTCTGTCCTCAGGGGGCTGAGAGCAGGCCTACATGACTGAGAGGAGCCTGTCCTCGTGGCCAAGAGGAGTCTGTCCTCAGGGGGCTGAGAGCAGGCCTGTCCTCAGGGGGCCAAGAGGAGGCCAGTACAGCTGAGAGGGGGCATGCACGGCAGAGAGAAGGGCCTGCTTACTTGCACGGCCAAAAGGAGCTGAGAGTGCAGTCCTGCACTGAAGAAGGGAGGGATGTGCTCTCCACTTAGGGGGGATCCTTCCAGACTTCGCCTGCATGCTTCCTGACCCTGATCCCGAGCTGTACCCTGTTACTTCCTAAAGAAACCACTTAACTAAGTATGATCTGTGAGTTCTGTGTGACCATTGCAACTAATTATCCAACCCAGCAGAGAAGTAGAGAATGCTGCGGGAGGGAGGACAGGTGAGGGGTTGGAACCGCCAAATATATCCCAGGACAAAAATGTACACTTTGTGTGTTCAGGTGATACAATCTTACAGCTCTAATCTTTCTAATCTCTGGTCCGTCCCAAATAGTCCAGCCCTCAAACCACGGTATAATTTTTATTCTCTTTCACAACTGGGACCCCTGAAAAGACTACCAGGGATGATACTTACAGCGACTTTATATGCAGCTTCTATGTAAAAAACAAGATTCTGTACGAAGGCCACCTCATCGAGGGTGAAAATAATACGTAAGCCTGGTAAAGAAACACAGACATTGAGATGATGGGCTATGCTGCAAAGAGAGAGCTGCCAATCACAAACATCACACTGGAAAATAAATCCTTTTACCCTCATTTTCACTTTTCCTATTGAGGTATCAATAATTATGTCTGAAGTAAATCCTAACAGTTAATGTTCAATCTCAGAAGAAAAAAGGAAGAGAAATGGAGGGAGGGAGGGGGGAAAGAAGGAAGGAATGAAAGAGAAGAGAATGGCTATACTTTGTTTGTGCATATGAGTAGGAAAGGTTGACAAAGAAGGTGTGGGGCCTGCTGGATTTGCCCAGAGAAGGTTCCAAAAGAGCAAGGATTTTAGCCTAAGGAACCAGCTACTGTCACTATCCCTGAGTGAGCCAAAGAGTGGGCGCTCTTCCTGATGCAGGGAGGGAAAGGACGGCCCCCAACTTTAGAAGATAGCCCTTCCCCTGCGGAAAGTCTGGTTCCCGGAACCTGCCCAGGTGCCGCATTGACACAGTGATGTCGGCAGCAACCAAGAGAGCTGGCTTTGGGCTTGGGTCCTTGAAAGTGCGGTTGGTTACAGCAAATTATATATTTTCAAAGTATGAGTGTGGTAAGACATGCACTCTTACACTGCTGGGAGGAGCTTAACTAGTAAAACTTTAGGACAGCAATTTGGCAATATGTATGAATCGGCTTTGGATCACATGTATCGGACGGAAGTAAAGGGAGATGTGATCAACATTAGTACTGTAACGTTAGTTGTAACAGCAAAAAAACCAAAAAGCACCAACACAGGGATAAAGGAATAGTTAAATGAATTATAGTATATTCATTGATAAAGTCACTAAAATTATGTTTATGAAGAGTTTGTAAGGTCATAGGGGAAATGCTTAAATTATAATGCTATATCATCAAAAGACTATGTTTATGTAAACAAGATGACCTTAAATATGTTTAAAAAAATGCATAGAAAAAAGACTTGGAGGAAACACATCTGAAAGGTTTTTTTTTTTTTAAAATAAATATGTGGTTTATTCACATGGCCATAATGATATGACTTATGGATTTCTGACAGTCTTGGAGTTTCACATTCGGGGTCTGAAATAAATGGAAACCTCTAACTCAGGAGCGTCAGTTTACTGCACAGGTGATAAAAACTCACACACAGCAGCAAGGTGACCTAACCCCAATGGAGCATTCGTATCCAACTGTGTCCTGGGAGAGACCATTTGGTATGTGCAGATGGGCCACAGCCTGAAGCTCGGAAGGCCTGGTGTCCAGGTTGCCACTGAAACCGGCAGCTGCGGCTGCTACAGAAATGACACACACAGTCTGGAAGTTGTTGGCGACTCACAGCATGAGTGCCACAGGCTGGCCAGACTGCCCTGAGCACGCTGCCAAACTCTGGAAATGTTGTTTGAAGGTAAGTTGATAAGCGGGGTGCGTCCAGGGGAGGGTGCCCAGGAGAGTGAGAGAAGAGCTGAAGAGACAGGCTGTTTCTCCTGAAGAAGAAAACTCTGGGAAGGCACGCTGCCGCCGTCAAGACATTTGGACTGCTGAAGCGTGACTTAACTGAAGTCGCTCCAGTAACTCAAAGAGAGTTGTAGTAAGAATGGGATCAGCAAAAAGAAACTGATAGAACTGTCTCAACAGCCCTTGTCCTGCAAGTGTCCCTGGCACGTTACAGACAGGTTCTCACATTACCTGCCCTGTCAGAGAGCACATACTAGGATTAAGCAGCAGGCTTTTGCTTTACGTAAACAGCTGGTTTTAAACACTGATCGATGCCCGCCTCGCCCCCCTTTCTGGATTGTCACTCCCTGTACAGTAGGCTCAAAGGGCCTGGCTCACCTGAGGCAGTCATCTGGGCCAGGAAGAGGAGGAAGAGGGAGGTGGCATCCACCTGGAGGTGGCCCCACTGGTCGTCGCCCACCACAGTGCTGAAGGTGGCGGTGTTGTACTTGGCGTGTAGGCTGTCCTTGGTACTCTGTGTGTGCTTGAACTTCTCCACCTTATCCACCTGAGGCAGAAGGCAAGTCAGTTCCGCATAGCTAAGAAGGTTTGTGGCTGGCAGAGTTCTGGCAGGCACCTGCATCAGACCTCTTATCTCCTACCTCCAGGAGCCAGGGGGACAGAGGACAGCTAAAGTTAGTCAGCTCCACACAGAAGGGCTGTGTGGCGGATTTCTCCTGCCCACCTGCCAGAAGTGTCCCAGCCCAGTGGGATTTTAACAAGCCCTTTGTGATGGAGAGTCACACCCAAGGGCTTCCTTGTCTTTATACCCCCAGCTGTGACACATGGTAGGCACCTAATGAGAGGAGGAGGGACGGAGAGAGGGAGGGACGTGGCTGAACCTTGAAAACATTATGCTGAGTGAAATAAGTCCGACATAAAAGACAACTATTGTATTGTCCCACTTACATGAAATATCCAGACTAGGCCAGTGCACAGAGACCAAGTATAAAACAAACAGAGAAGGGAGGAAGAGGATCTGTTTAAATTTCAACTTCTTGTTCCCTTATGTTGAAAGGAAAAGAGCAACCATGTCTTTGAAAACGAGGTGGTGACTGTATCACATTCATCTTTGAACTTGGGCAGATCCTAGTATAATGTTCTGTCTACAATACGTGCTCAGTGAATTGCTGCATTTACCCCTCACTGAAAAAACCAGGAAATAGTAATGTCAAGTTTCAAAAGCACACACATTTCATTTCAAATGAAAATATACTTTTAAAAACTCAGCAGAATGAAAAATCATCCACGGCCTTCTGTCGTTGTTGTTGTTAGGTGCCGTCGAGTCGGTTCCGACTCATAGTGACCCCACGCACAACAGAACGGAAACACTGCCCGGTCCTGCACCATCCTCACAATCGTTGTTATACTTGAGCCCATTGTTGCAGCCTCTGTGTCAATCCATCTCATTGAGGGTCTTCTTCTTTCTTGCTGACCCTCTACTTTACCAAGCATGATGCCCTTCTCCAGGGACTGGTTCCTCCTGATAATATAACCTTCTAGGAGTGGCTTAAAAAAAAAGTTTTCCCCCATTAAAAAAAAAAAGTCATGCTCTCCTTTTAATCACTTCCAAAGAGATTCTTCAAAACAGTGACCTTTGAGGCTGTGGTCCTATCTACCCAAAAACCAAACCTGCTGCCGTCGAGTCTATTCTGACTCATGGTGACCCCATAGGACAGAGTAAAACTGCCCCATAGGGTTTCCAAGGCTGTGATCTTTACGGAAGTAGACTGCCACATCTTTCTCCCGAGGAGCTGCTGGTGGGTTCGAACCACCAACCTTTAGGTTAGCAGCTGAGTGCTTAACCACTGTGCCACATCCCTGTGGTCATAAAGTATAATAAAATTATTTAAGATCATCTTAAAAAGAGAAACTAAGCAAAATATTTTCAATTTCTCTTCATCTTAAGAAGAAAAGTTCAAAATGCTTTAAGAAAGTTCGTTGTCACGATTAAAATGACATGAAACGCCCACTCAGGTAATCTGCTGGCACACGTGTCGTTTTCCACCTACCTGTCTCATCATGCACTGGAGAAGCCCCCGCATCAGCTTCACCACATTCTACGGGAATAAAGTAGACAGTTACAGGCCGGGTTCCCTGCTCTGTGACCACAGCCTCCTTACCACCACAGGGCCATTAAGCTGGTGCTGCCAGAAACTTCCAGAAAAGGCAGATCCCCAGCACTGGCAAGTATCCTGATAGTTTATATCACATCTACTTCTCCACTCCATCCCAGAGAAGGAAAAATCTTGGCCAAGTGACTTAACCTCAAATAAAGGGGTTGGACCCAATGGTATCTTCCAGTTCTGAAATAGTGACTCACGGACATTTTTAACAACACAATTTTTATAAAGCCCAGCCCCCTGGAGCTTTATGCCATGATTCTTAGTAATTTATTTTCATTGTCCTAAGGATGAATTCAGTCCACCATGCTTGCCCAAAAGTAATGATGCTTTGCCAAAATAGCCATTTGTGACATCATTACTGGACTAGTGAGTAAAGTTCCTACAAAATGCAAGGGGCAGCCAATGTTACCAAATAACATGATGTATTGAAACCAATTGCTATTACTATTATTATAAATAATAAGGATAATACTAAGTTAATCTATTAGACACAGTGTCCAGGCTTTGTACAAAGCACTTGACCTGGATTCTCTCTAATTCTTGCACCAACCTTAGGAGGTGGAGATTATTCTTACCCCACTTTGTAGATGAGGAACCAAAAGCTGAGAGAGATGAGGTAACACTGCTAAAGTTACAGCTGGCAAGGAGTGGAGCAAGGCCACTCACGAAGGCAGTCTGGCTCGAGAGTTTGTGCTCTTAACCAATACAGTGTGTTGCCTCTCACTTCCTCCAAAATTCAGGCCCGTTTAAAGACTGGTCTTAATATGTTCTGTTAAAACCACTATCAAATTACTTCACGAGTACCTGGAGAAGGGGATATTTTGTGGGTCAAAGCAGCTCCCACCCAGGGACACGAGCATCTCCTCTCTTAGAGAATGTACATGGCTTGCAGGGGAGGGCATGGTGAAGGGCTACAAAGTTCACAGAATGAACTTGCTAGAATGAATCAGATCCTTCTACCTCTAAAATCCTAAGATTCTAGAATAACTTCACTTTACGTCATATACTCTTTCAGAGCAGAAAATGTTACCTCATAATTATAAGGTATACATAGTATTGTTACAATGAACATTGTCTACGGTATCTAGCATAAACATTTGTCAACTGCATTCCCCTCAAAGAAAAGTTATTTTCTATTATGAATAAGCACTGGGGTTCCCAACTTGGGGTGAGGGAGCATCCGGAAATGTGAGGGTAGAGGTAGCTGGCATTTAGTGAGTAGGGGCCAAGAACACTAAATGTCCTGCAACGCGTGGGACAGTCTCACACAATGAAGAGCTATACCACTCAGGCACGAGGGTTCTAGTTTCTCCACATTCTCACCAACGCTTGTAATTTTCTGTTTTTCCGGTAATAGCCATCCTAGTGGGTGTGACATGGTATCTCACTGCGGTTTTGATTTGCACTTCCCCAATGACCTTCAGCATCTTATCATGTGCTTACTGACCATCTCTATATCTTCTTTGGAGAAATGTTTATTCGAGTCCTTGAGATACCCCTGCTTAGATAAGATATCTAGAATAGGCAAATGCACAGAGACCAAAATTTATTAGTGGTTACCAGGGGCTGGGGCAGGGGGAAATGGGAATTCTTGCTGAAGGGGTGCTGAGTTTCTGTGTGGGGTGATGAAGAACTTTTGGAAATGGATAGTGGTGATGGCAGCACAACATGGTGAATGTAATTAATGTCACTGAATTCTACATTTAAAGATGGTTAAAGTGGTAAACTTTCTGTTATATATATTTTACCATAATAAAATTTTTAAAACTACATTTGTTTAGAATGATACCTTGTATAGAAATATGTATAAAATTGATCGGGGATATATAAGAGAACTACAGCTGGTTAGGCAAATTGATGCTTTTGGGTTAGAAATTTGGATGTCTATTTTCCTATTCAGTGTGACTGTTGTTGTTTTATGGAGGGAAAATTCTCAGAGGGAAAGACAACTGAGAGGCTGAGACTGTCTAAGTGCCTCCCCAAAAGATTTGATCACAGGAATGGAGCAGACCCAGCACAGCTACTTCCATGGAGACTTTCAGTTCAAGGAAAAGGTGTTAGGCCGCCAAGACATCGTCAGCCCCCATTACCTGTTCCAGCTCATAGGCCTTGGCCTTGTCCTCGTCACGGTCGGCATTCTTGCGATAGGCCATTCCTAGGCCCCACACGGCCAGGATGCTGTAGATGTTGTCCCGCACCCAGGCATCCTTCTGCTCATGGCTAGCTGACAGCAGCCCCGTGACAGGATTCTATCAGAGAAGGACACAAAATGATTCCTCACCACCCTTCCCACAGCCCCTGGCCAGCAAATGCTTACCCTAAGGGGGACAGAATGGGGGCAGGGCAAAGAATGAAGACACGGGGTTCCAGTCCTTGCTCTGCCTCTAACAGTGTAATCTCGGGCGAGAAGTCACATCACTTCTCTGGGCCTCAGTTTCCTCACCTATATAACAAGGATATTAGGCTAGGAAATCTCTAAGGAAACTTCTACTCTTATGATCTCGTTCTTTTGCTCTCAGACAAGAAGATCACACTGTTGCAAGTGACAAAACAGAAGAAACAGCTAGCAGAAAAAGCCTGCAAGGCGTTTACATATCTGTGCATTGTGGGTTTTAGGTCTTCTTGGGCCTTTGTGTTTCCGTACCAGTTGAGTCTGCGAACAGGAGACCTAGGCCCTGGGCCCCACCCCACCACTTGGGCTTGTGGGTCAGGGAAGGCACTTACCCAACCCTGGCCCTTAGCTGCTGCCTGTAAACCAGATACTTTAAGTGCCTACAAACAAGGCGCTGAGCAAGAGGAAGCCTGGGAGTCCTATTTAGCTATGATTATCACCAGTATTTGAAAAGGCCACTGAGTCACTAAAAAGCCAGCCCTGTATACAAAAACTTGTACACCAATGTTCACAGCAGCATTATTCTGTGGAAACAACCCAACGGCCGTCAACTGATGAATGGATAAACAAATTGTGCTATATCCATACAATGGGATATTATTTGGCCATAAAGAGGGATGAAGTACTGATACATGCTACAACATGGATGAACCTTGAGAGCATTATGCTGAGTGAAAGAAGCCTGACATATTGTACAATCCCACTCATATGAAATGTCCAGAATAGGCAAATGCATAGACAAGACAGTAGATTAGTGGCTACCCGGGGCTGGGAGGAGGGGAGAATGGGGAGTGGCTGCTTAATGGGCACAAGGATTCCTTTGGGGGTGATGAAAAGTTCTGGAACTAGATAGAGGTGACGGTTGTACAACACTGTGAATATGCTAAATGCCACTGGGTGAATTGCATGGTATATGAATTATATGTCAAAAAGCTGTTATTTCAAAATAAGCCAGTTCTAATAAACTCTGACTAGAAATAAAATGCAGAAGTTAGGAAAAGCATCACATAAAGATAAACCCTCTGCTGACTTTTCTTGAAAATGTACAAAGAAATATGCATCTGATAAAATACATCATAACAATCACAACCTTGCCAGCTTAAAAAAATATTACTCAAAAAGGCACCATATTATTTATAAGAGGACTCATGAATGAATTCTGTTGGGGGCTTTCAAAGTGTTACTACCAAGGTTATTATGTGAAAAAAAAATTGGTAGAGCTTCACATGGCCCCACCTAAGAAACTACATATAGGGGTATTGGACTTTCTCCTTTAACTAATCTATGCCCTCTACAAAAACATCTAAAACTCAACTGATATCGCCCTCAGGGGCAACAGCATTCAGTGTTGACATAACTCTACACAGTCAACAATTACAAATCAATATTAAAGTCAACCAGAGCTGAAGTCAGGGAATGGCTGGGTGAAGTTACAAGTCTTCTTCAAATAGTAGGCTATTGCTGTTCTTTGTTAAAACCACTATTCAGGGGACTTCCGGCAAGATGGCGCTCTAGGCAGAAACACCACGCCG